TTTTTTTGAGACAAGGTTTTTTCTGTAGCCCTGGCTGTCCTGGAACTAGCTCTGTAAACTGGGCTGGCCTTGAACTTACAGAGATCTGCATGCCTCTGCCTCCAGAGTGCTGGGATCAAAGGCATGCCCCACCACTACCCCAAGGTTCTGCTGTTTTTATAAAATAGGTTTAGATCAAGATGATTTTTTAAGTAAGTTACTTGGTAATTTACATTTTTAATTTAATTTTTACATTTAATTTAAAGGAGTCACCTGTCTCCTTTAGGTTTTTAAGTCTCTCAGAGTAGATCTGTATGTCTCTAGATCCTTTACTAGTTTAGCCTTTATTTTTGGTGTGTGTATGAAGTATGTATGTATTCATGCATATAGGTGCCAATGCATGAGCAGGCGAAAGTTGATGATGGGTATCTCCCCTGTTCATGCTAGTGGAGACAGCTTTTCTCACTGAACCTGGAGCTCACTGGTTGTCTGGAATGCAGAGCTTTCTCTGCTCACCAAGTGCTAGGTTATGGATGTGTGCATTGCTGTCCCCAGCTTTATGTGGGCATTAGAGAATCTGAACTCAGCTCCTCATGCTTACGTGGCAAGCACTTTACCAATGGCACCATCTCCCCACCCCACCCTGTAGTTTACTCTGAAGCGTTTCTTTGAATTTTGTGGATCTTATGACTTAGGATACTTTTATAGGTTCTCATGTATTTTTTCTCTTTTCATTTTGTTAAAATACACTTGTCCAGACTTTTGTCTGTAGATACGGTGATTAGCTTGTGTACTCTGCCTGTATGATCAGCATTTCTTTTTCTTAATCTAGAACTGAAGCCCTGTTGTGTGCGCGTCTCATCCGAAGTTCAACTCCATTATCACTTAGTAGATTCATGCTTTACGAGTTGACGGTGCTGTTGTGATGGCTGCAGAAAACTCCATTTTGTGCTAGGCACCCCTGTTACTAGCCATTTGTCTCTGACCTAAATTCCTGTATGATAAGTTCCCAGCAGCCCTCCCTAGAATTGTGTAACTGTTGTGAAATGGTTAGCTGCTTGCTCTGACTTCTGTAACGTCACTTGCTACTGTGTGCAAGGGGCGTAAGGCCGTTCCTCACGCAGCTGTGAATTCCACAGGAGGGAAGTGCTGTGGTTTTCCCCTTTAGAAGCCCTTCCTTCACCTGCTTCTGGGTGGCGCATCTCTGATTTGGGTTAGAGACTGCGGCCTTGCTAGCAGTTTCAATAAATTTGGCCAATTATA